TATATCTGATCCAATTGATATCACTTACTAGAAAATGGGAAAGACACTGGTTATTTAATTTTCTTCCTTTTGAATTTCAAATAATTACAGTTTTGAGACACGGTGTTCATCTCCATCAATGATGAACTTAGTTGGCTTCTATTATTATTGCATCAGGTACGTTTATTATAATCTGTGGGTTGGGCTTTTTTTTCACAACAAAATAAAGGAACAACCTATGTGTTCTTTCTCCCCAATTGAACAGCCGATTTCCTTTTTTGTGTAGCTTAATCCACTCCTTCTCAGGTCCTCTTTTTCCAGACTTTTAGTTTATACTATTTTAAACAGAGAGGCAGACTGGAGCTGAGCAGGCTGAGCTCATCCACATCCTCAGATACCCAATGAACCCAAACGTCGGTCTACACCCTCTCCTTGGAGTAGCCATTGGATAGAGTATGCACAGGAAGAGAGTTAGGATTATAGTTGGCATAACTGAGTTTAAGAATTTTTTAAAATATGGAAATGGAGGGGAATAGAAAAGGGATGGGAAAAATTAGAAATAAGAAAATTCACCAAAAAGAAAACTCTCTCCATCAACACCCACCCGAGAAAAAAAAAGGACATTCCCAAGGTTAGCTTAAAATAAACATATTATATTATTAGCTGTCATCTGTTGAGTGTTCACTTCTTTGTGAAGTGTCATTTATTGAGTTATTTGTAAAATGACAACAACTTATTGAATTATTAATTTGTGCTGCCCCATGGATATTTCAAATTGGTGTCTCTTCCTCGCCTCGTAGATTTTTCTATGGCAGGAAGTAGAAGCTGCCGGAAACCAGGGGCTGCAGGATTCCACAAATAAGGAAAAAGAATGAACTAGTTAGAGTAATTGCTAGAGTATGTTTGTATTGGTTAGGACAAACAGAAGTCCACAAGAACAAGGCAAATGGAGAGAGAGAGGGACGCAGAAGAGAGCAGATGTGCCAGCTCCAGACCAAAGTGGAAAGAGACATTGCATGCATGGAGGAAATCTACAAAAAAGTCCCTCTGCATTTTAGTCCCCTTAGGAGCTTTTGTTTCCCACAAATTCATCGTATTTGGTACCTGCCTAGTGGTACAGCCCCTCCAGGCATCTGGGTGAGGTTTAGATGAAAGGAGTTCCATCAGCAACTGCAAGTCCTGAGTCTCCTGGTGTCTGGGTTTATAAAACTGTCCCTCTTGCCCTTGTTAAGCCACCCTACTAGCCAAAAAAAAAAAAAAAAAAAAATGTATAGCATTTTCCCACGATCCATATTATAATGACCATAAGATTTTTCAGGAGGCAGTTCCAAATAGGCAGCTAGGTGATGGAAAAACTAACTGAAATGTGAACTTTGAGCTTTGTCTGCCCAGCACATGTTTCTGCCCTCTTTCTAAGAAGGTAGCTGGGACCTTGCAGAGTATTTCTGAATATTTTGCTCTGTGTAAGAGGGCAGCTTAGGAATATTGCTACTGGGTGCTGTGTGTATGCTGGGACAGTGATAAACTAGATCACCCCATTATGGCAGCAAAACAAGAGCTCGTCAATGGCCTTGAGTTGATTTAAGGGCAAGAAAGAAAATGAGTACTTCCTGCATTCTAGAGTGTACAGAGCAGGATTTCTTCTGGCCAGAAGTATATTATAAGCTTGAATATGCTTTTTCAAGCTGCTACCCCTACCCGCCTTGAGATACTGGAATGTTCTGATGAGTGGAAACGTTCCCAGTGCTCCATTTTGAAAAGAAATGGTGATTAACGAGGTTCATGGAAAAGCATGCAAGGCTTTATCTTATTTAAAGGAGGTTTCTGGTTTGCTCCTTCAATCTCATTAGAAATAGTGCACAACAAACAGGTTTAGGATGATCCTGAGAGAACCTGGGACGTGTGTTAGACACATTGGTCACCTCTAATAGGTTTAAACCAGTTATTTCTCTTTTAATGTTATTGGGCAGAGTAGTAAGCCTCTAGCTTTGGTTACTTTTAAGGGAGGAAGGAGGGCGAAGTCTCCAATTCTTCCTATTCAGATTGTTCTCAATCTTGACAGGCTATCAGAGCAACTCAACAAGTGTAACAGCTCGCACCCCAGAGCGACTGCCCTTTCCCATGCATCCAACTTTCTCCCACCCCTTCACCTCTTCTTTGTGCAAGTTCTCTCCATCCCTCCCACCTGCTGTGGGAGCCCTCGGGCATTCTGAGTCCTGCCAGAGCACAAAGGATTTGAAAGACCTCCAGGATCCCTGTAACTGGCAAGCCACAACCTCCTATCTAGAATTAGCTCATTCTTAAACTTTTCAGAGAAGAGGGGATTAAGGAGAGAGAGAGAGATGATCCTAGATGCCTTGAAATTGCTGGAGGGAGTAGACTTGTTATGAGATGCTGTGAGCCAGAAACTAAGGTGAAAACCAGGGATGCTCGTTTTGGCTGAGGGCAAGGAAAAATCATCCTACTCAGGAGCTGAGCCCTGCAGGAGAAACGCCACCTCTAGTCGCATTGGACATGCCCAGGCCCAGAGTGGATGGCCACTCATCAGGGAGGATGTGTAGGGGGTTCTAGGTTGGAAAGGAGGATAGAAAAGGTCATTGCCTGGATCCCTTGCACCTGAAGACATGCACACACACACTTTTATTTCAAAAGCTAGGAATTTAGTTTACATACCTAGCATATCAAATCTATAAGTTCACTATTATTGCTTACTGGGACACATTTAAGTAAATTCACTTTAATTAAAATGTGGGTCAAGTTAAAGGAAAAACTAAGTAATAGTAGAGGTGATATATGGGTATGACAAACCGGAAGTTGGAGGACTTTTTTAGACCATGCTTTCTTAGACTGTTTGAAACTTAGAAGAACTAAGTTCCCTAAACCTACAAAGCAATCCATTATATTTAGGGGTGAAGCTATAGATCTCATGAGGCCAGAATTGATCAAGGAGCTGAAAATATGCATTGCTTAACTGAACTTAGCCAAGACACTTGTCTTCACCCACTTGGGGAGATCTCCAACGATATGGCATTTGATCAAAAGATAACTATTGAAAATGGAAAGAAGGAAATTATAGTAGAGCCATAAAAAAGAATTGACAAACTAGCAATAGAAACTGGAGTAAGATAGTGGAGTTTTGGGCAATGGGGAGAAGGGAAGAGAAGACAGGAAGAGTGAGAGAGAGAGAGAACTGATACACAATATAAATGTTAACGTGTTCACTTGTATTAGGAGAGCCCTAAGCTTTCTAACAGTCAATGCAACCTTGAGGCTGCCTAGCAAATATGTCTCAATGAGATGCTCATGAATTTTTACATCATTCTTAAATTCCGTTGTAACAAGTTTCTGCTTGACACCATGGCTAAACACAATTATTTCTGAATTCATGTCACTCTGCCCTTCATGGATCTTAAAACAAAGAAGTGTCCTCATTTCAACCATGTTTGAGCTCAGGAAGGAGAAGTGTCAGTAGCTTTGAGAATGTGTAATATTGAAAAGCAGACATTCTCCAAATAAAACTTCCAAGTCCTTATTCCTGAGACCTTGCTTTCAGTGTGAGCCAGCTGAGGATCAGCATTAGGCTGGTCAGTCACCATGGGGGAGGCGACAGCCCATTAAGAAATTAAGCATCTACTATGTGAGAGATGAGATGCTCAAATTTACTGCAAGCATCTCCTCCTCACCATGGCCATATAAGGGAGAAGTCTTATTACCCATTACCTCCACTTTTTTTTTCAGAGGAGGAAACTTTTGCAGAAAATAGATGAAATAATTTGTCCAGCCATCTTGACTGACACTGGGGTTTGAGCCCATGTGATCTAGCTACAGAGTTCAATGCTTAAGCCCTGAGCCAACAGAGTAACATTGTTGTCCTCACTGGGCAAACTTCAAGAAATGCAGTGAAAGGAAGGAAATGAGCAGGATGAGAAGTGAGAGAAAGATGGAGAACATAATGGGGTGGGCAGGCCACTAGGGACTAATATCTATACTTGAAACATTGAAACGAGCAATGAGATCTGTGGGGAGAGAGAAAACTAGAACTTTGACAGGCATAGCTCCACAAGCTTAGATTTAACTTAAAAAGGAAGTTAAGTAAAACTAAGCTGTAAAGGAAAGCCAGAATATATACAAAAAATATATCTACATTCATATTCATCTACATATCCATATATGCATGCACAAACATACCTTTATAAAGAAGGTCCCTAAATCTCTTAAAATCACCTTTGTGTCTGCCAGGGAACTGGAAAATTTCATTTTAAAATGGAACCACTCACAGGAGCGATTAGTCATGCCCTTGAATGACTCTCAGATCTGAAAGTTGCTTCCCAGCCTGTCCTAGGGTTCAACTGAGATCTTGTCAGTGTAGGACTTGAATGAAGTGATGACATGTTATTGACATATATTAACCACAGCTTTTCTAGACACATGCACACACACACAGAGTTTGTCTAGTCAGATATATTAAAAGTAACTTTGGTAGTTTCAATATGATTCATTAGTTCATGAAATGCAATTGTGCTCTCTGTTGTTAGTTGAGATTAAATTTAAAAAAAATGAAGCCATTGATAGAGTTATTTATGGTTGCTATGGTACTGCTATCTCAACCACTTCGGTAATTAGGGATCAAGGTTAAGTTCTCACGTGTTCCAGAGAATTCCAATCATGAGATAGAGAGAGAAATTTGAAATAGTTCACTTGAACTGTTGGAATATGCTTGGAAGGGTAAGAAGCCATGAAAGTATCCTTTTTTCTTCTTTGAAAATAAACACAGGTTATAACACAAAATACCACGAGGGTGGTTTGCTGCCCACATCTGCTTTCCTGATCCTCTCAGTCACAGAGATGTGCCACTAAGATTCTTTGGTTCCTCTTTTGGTTTGGTGAGTCATCTCAGGTCTTTATGAAGCAAGAGAAGCAAACTTGTAAATGAATTGCTCTGGAATTTCTGTCTGACTTATGCATTTCTTTTATTTATTTCATTTTTGCATTGAAAACATTACATTTCTGTTTCCTTATAGAGTAGTGTATCAAGAGCCTGTGTATGGCAATAAATTGCTGCAGGTATGAAATCCCAACTGGTGGAAAAACTCATCACTATGATTGTGGGTTTGCTGTGAAATCCTACTAACAAGACAATTCTGGGGAGGGGAGATATTCTCTAACATAGAAGGAAGAAAGACTTAACTGAATTTTCCAGTTTTGATGTGACTTCTTCTAGAATAGAGATGCTCATCCTCAAATTTCCCCTCTTTTCTAGATCATGAGTGTATCAAAATGGAGGTCTGCCTTGGATATACATGTCTTGGCTTAAAATGTATCTGGATTCAATTAATATAAATTCAAGGAAAAGAATTCCAGGGTTTGGTTGAACCAATTGTCTGGGTGATGTTTTAGTGGGTTCCTGGAATCAACTGGAATGGTTAAAAGAAAAACCTCTCATTCATCCAGCATCAAGGGTCAGCAGAGCTAACATCACTTTCCCTGGTTTCATTGTAGCTTGTTATAAATTTATTTCACACCTATTGCTATAGCTTTCAAACCTATTTCTCACTGCTGAAGCAACCCCCAAATGAACAAATTTGTAGGAAAAAAAGAGACAGCATATCCATTGGAGTGTAACTGACTCAGTCTCCAAACTTTGGTCTATGACCAGCATTAAAACTGTCAAACAAAATGAAAGAAGAATGTAAAACTAAAGATGATCAGTGAGTTTCCCTGTAAACTGCAATTCCCATTGCTGTTCTGTATTGTCAATTAAGAAAGTACAATTTTTTACAGTGAAAATTAATCAAGTTTTAATAAGAAACGTAATATGATAAAAGGGTACTAGGATCTAGGAGAGAACAAAGTAATTGAAATTCCTGAGATCAACTTTTATTTTCACGTTTCAAGTAAACTGGACTTCTACTGCCGCACTTCCAAAATATCAGAATGTACAGTGCAGATAAATTAGGGAGTCATTATTTATATTTAAATTTTTGATTTTTGCAGGTGCTCTTGTAAATGTTATTTCAGTAAATAAGATGCTTATGTACATATACATATATATCTATATATATAGCTATAGATATCTCAATCCATCGTTTTACACAAAGTGAGAGCCTTGGGTATTCTCAGAAAGGAGGAGGCTCGCTCTGTGATTAAGCTCCTTACTACTTTAGCATGCGCTCAAGCTGAAGAGAAACACACACACGCATTACAGCCCTACCCATTCCCATGTCCCCACCAGCACACAGAAGTTTCCCTTCTCTTCCTAAGTAATTCACCCTTTGGTTATTAGAACATCTTTTCCCAAAAGTATGCTGTAAAGTTAAAAATGTAATTTTCTTTGTCAAACTACTTTGAGATGCGTGGGAGACACACAGTGCTCATCAGTATGGTTTTAGGAGGTTCCACAAATGGAGTCCCTTGTCTTATTTAGTTTAACGCAGTATTTCCCAAACCTCTTTGGTCACGGAATCTTTCGTTTCCCTGCCACTGTTAGTATCTCACCAAGCGCAACTTTGAAAATTCTTTATTGGAACATCATTAGTGGTTCTGCGTGAGTAACTTCCCCAGATGGACCTCCAGAGGTCTCGCTAACAAAGGGGATGTTTCAGCCCCCGTGAGTCGGTGTCTTCAATGGCCACATCTGGTGGTGGTGGCAGGGATGGGAGGGGGAATCCATAATGGCCATTTAAAATTGACATTTTATATATGGTCACATTTATATTTTGCTGTCCGATATGTGAAAAATGAATATGTTTTATGAGTAGGGAGTGTAGAACTGTGTTTTCCTTTGGTTTGGTGGTAGGAAAAATCTAACTGTCAAGGGTGAATTTTTGTCCTAAGCTCTGGGAGGACCGTTTTCAACACGAACACGGTGTGGTGTCAGCAAATGGAAGTGAGAGCTCCTTTTTCAGACATTGCCCCAGAACCTTGCAGTAACTCTGGTGATGCTCAGCGAGCTGCAAAGTCTGGAGCAATAAACTTGATTAGAATCACCTGTTAGAAAGGCAAATTAAAGCAGTTTGTATTTTTTGATCATTTTACTGTGTAAGCATACACACACTGAGTTAATACACAACTCTGTTATTCCTTCAATACGGATCTCATACAGAAGAAAAATAGCAAAGGAAGACAATGCAATATGGTCATGTGCCATATAACGTTTAGGTCAACAATGGACCACGTATAAGATGGTGGTCCCATAAGATTAGTACCATATAACTTAGGTATGTAGTAGGCTGTCCCATCTAGATTTGTGTGAGTACACTCTATGATGTTCGCACAATGACGAAATCGGTCAACCACGCAGTTCTCAGAACATAGCCCCGTCGTTAGTCAGTACACGACTGTATGTAGACATGGAGGTATGAAACCACGTAATCCTCTTCTTGTTCCATTTCGTACATATTTCAGGGGACACTAGGACCTGTACGGTCCAATATGTTAGGTAGCCACTGGCCCCATGTGGTCACTTACATTTAAATTTGAATGAACTCAAATTAAATAAATTAAAAATTTAGTTTGTTTTACCGGCCACATTTCAAGTGTCCAACAGTCACTTAGGACAAGTGGCTACCGTATTGGACAGCACAGAAATAAAACATTTCCATCATCACCAAAAGGTCTACTGGACAGCAAGGATACCACTGCTCAAAGTCAAAATCTCTCCGCTGGCGTCACAGACTTTCACAAACTCTGACTCTTGAATGGCGAGTGCTTGTAAACAAATTCCTAAATGACAAAGACAAGTGTCAGGGCATTGACCACTTGTGCCTGTCTTGCATGGAAAAACACACTTATTTTCTCTAAATGGCCAAGCCATATGCAAATACTTAGAGGATGGCTCCTTCCAAAGCTTCGTAGACAAGCACATCTGTTGTGCAGAAGGATCCCAGGTGTCCACACACAATTTTGTGTTCATACAATAAATATCAACCTAGCAGTCAGTGAGGTTCATTTTAGGTATTTTCTGTTTGCACTGCAGCAGCTCTTTCCATTTATAAAACTTACCACCTCCTTTCATTGATGGAAACTACTGCAGAAGTTGGAGGAAATGTGCCGAGGTCAAACAAAAACGGTTTGCATGCGGGATGTTGCTAGAAATCTTTGCTAGGACCAAATTCAGTCACTAAATTATGATTGATTTACATGGCACTTGATGCACATACCTTTGCAATCATGTTTGTTTTTCATTCTGGGAGTGTGAGCAAAACTAAAACATACACAAACACACACACACACACACACACACACACACACTTTTACTCAGCTCAAAGCTTTCAGCTGGTTGCCGCTAATGCTTTCTAGCAATCAGGGAGGCAATTCCAGCCCCTCCCTGCCTCATTAAGTTTAACAGACATACCTGCACACCTGTATCTTTCTGGATGCATCATGAAAGCCAAGGAGATGGGCAAGCAGATGAAAAGACTGGCTCCAGAAATCTGGTGACCTAATTTCCCCTCATGCCATCGGTCTGTATCTTGAGCGTGTTGCTGCTATGACAATCGCTTTGGTTTTATAACTCCTCAGCACATTTAATGAGTTTTCCCATTCCTAATTAGAGAACATGGTGTTTGGAACACCAGGTGGTGTCTGGCTAAGACCTCTTTTTAATTTCCATATTGTTTTTCAGGGGAGACTTTTTTTTTTTTTAATACTGGCTCCAAATTATTGCTGATTATCTGTCAGGATGTCTTGGATGTGTCTTCCCCAAGGCTGATCCAAAGAACAAACTTCTTTAATGAAAGACTAGACTTTCTAAATTGCTATGTATATATTGACAGAGTTATTCTGAAAGCCACCTGTGTCTAAAAGAGAGTAGAAACAAGTTATTGGGACTAATTCCTCTACGTTTTGAAAGATGCTTTTTGCAGCGTCCCATTCATCTAATTTTTATCCTACTACTTGGTTTTTTCCTATACATGAAGCCAAATGCATTATACCTCCCAACTCATGATTTTACTGCTAGATGCTCTCTGAAGTCTCAGCGATTTGCTGTTAGATGCCCTCTGACACCCCAGTCTCTTCTGAGTTGCCTCTTTTTGGTGAGGGTGAGAACACTTCCCTCAGAGGATCATGGGACTGTGAATTCTAATTAGAACCTGAGTGGTCCCTGTATTATCGGTGGGGACTGGAGCCTGTTTGTTAATTGTGCTGAGATCATCCGACAGTGGTTGATGTCTCGCTGTGGTCTGCTGAGCAAGAAGCTCTGTTATTTTCACAGTTTGATAATCAATGCTTCACTGAACACAATTCCTTTCGAATATGCCCATTTGCTTGTCCTCTGCTTAATTGAACAATTGCAATTACTGGTACATACAGCTAAATGTTAATTATTTTTTCAGATTTTTTTCTCCCTTAATGATTTTATTTACAAATTGGAAGACTTTATCATATTTTCCACACAAAACAAATTCCCTATCTGAACCAACGTGATATCTCTCGCTGAAAAGATGGAATTTTTAAGAAGCTTTCACCATTCCTTTTTGTAATAATTATGTAACATTTAGAAACCTAAAGACAGTCTTCTTTAATTGCTTTAGTGGTTAAGTGACTACATATGTAAGAGATTACTGATAAACTTTCAATCAAAGGGTTATCTTATGTTTTTTTGTAAATATAAGACAGGAGGGCATTAGCTTGACCTATATTGGATTTTTAAGGAAGTAATCAAGGGTTGTTCAAATAAAATATAAGTTAATAGCTAATAAGTAAAAGTAAAGAATAATCATTTTTAAAAATCTGGAAAGTTCAGCAAAGTATAAAGAATGTGTAAATAATCCCCCATAATCTTCCCCTGCCCCAAACAATCACTGTTAACATTTAGGTACTTGTCCTTCAAAGGGCATTTGGGTTCTCCCTTGGGGATATGCTTACAACTGCTAACCTTTAACATCCAGCTGGGGTTGGTGTTCAAGCCCTGCTCTCCAGTGTGTGTTGTACTCGTGCTTTGATACTAAGCTTTCATTAACCACCACTTTAGATTGGTAGACTTGGGTAACTGCTGTTCTGGTGTGGTCTCACAACTGGGCATCCCTGAGCTGGGCTCCTCGGCATCCCTAAGTCAGATGTCTCCTTGTGTTTCAGGGTGGTTATGCTGCATACCGCTACGCCCAGCCTACCCCTGCCACTGCTGCTGCCTACAGTGACAGGTAAGAGTCTTCCTTCCTTCTTGTGCTTGACAACTACTCGCAAATTATCTTAACTTAAATTGGTGGGAGATGAGATTCTTGTCCAGTCTTGGTGCAAATGCATGACTGCTGGGGAGGCAGCACCCAAAAAGTTAGGCCCCCTGGTGAAGGTGAACACAGGGCCACGTCCGTTGAGAGAGGATGAATCATTAAGCCCAGCTCGTTCTCAACTCTCGCCCTCTCTGCTAAGACACAAAGAGAATATGCTTTGTCCACGTACGATTGTTTTTCAGATCTCGTAATTCCTCTGACAGCACACCTTGCATGCACACATGTACACTCCCTGTACAGCCTTCGAATGGTCTTCTTGGTAAGACCATGGTTTCCTCTAAGTCATAGGAAAAAATACAGAAGGTGATCCTGCAGGTTTACCTCAATTTCAAGCACTCCATTTCCCTTTTTTACAATTTTTTACACCCAGTAAAGCATTCCCTCCATTGCATTTTTTTTTAACCCAAAGGAAAGGAATGGGGGAAGTGTACCTGGCATTCCTAAAGAAGTGTGTTCTTTTTGGCAGTGCCCAGTGTCCGATCCTACTAAGATAAGCCAACTTTTATTTGTAATGCAGACCACATGTTAAGACTGGCAGTGGAAGGGAGAGAAGTGGGTTTAAGAAATGCAGGAGGCAGAATGGATGGCGGGGTGGGGAGTGGGGGATGGAGGAGTTTATTACTCATTACCCAGGCTTAACAGATGACTTGGTTCCTGAAATGGCAAGCCACAGCTCTTTTTGTATAGGGCCTTGAAAAAAGAAAGTGTGTGTTTCCATATTGAATGCAACTCGTTGGCTCTGTTTTCTGAGGACATAAATGTGAATGTTCAGATGCTCTGCATGCACAAATGTCATTGAGGGTGCTTATTTTGGGAAATGACTCCTTTCATTTAAAAATATGTTTCCTGAATAAAACAGTAGTGATAACAATTTGCATGTGTGGCTGAGGCATGCTGGGTCAGACAGGTAAGCAGGTGATGGATTTGACTCCTGAATGGGAAGTATCAGCAGCCACTGGTTCTTCTACCTGGCCTGTTGTGACTTAGTTCCTATCTTGGTTTGCTGTGGTGTGCTTTCTCTGCAGTGCCATTCCATCTCTCACAAGATGTGTTGTTAGCTCATTGTAGCTACAGAATTCTTCTGAGGTATAATAAAGCAAAATAAATTTCTGACCCCTAAAAGGTGCACTTTGAAAACCCCATGTGTAAATTTGTAATAAGTGGCTCTTTGGCAAGACAGAATTGAGATCTACTGTCTGGTTGTATGCAGACGTTGCTACTATTTTCTTATAACCAGCCATAATGAGTTCTCAAGGCTGGAGGGAACCTCCAAAAAAATCCAAACAATTGTCAAGATCCAGTTCTAAGTATATAAATTATCCAGTTACCCAGTAATCAGTTGCCAGATGCAAAATATGTTTTATGTAAGTTACTATCTCCCATACACTTTGACATTGGATTAGGAAAATAGAGAGGGTCAATAAGGCTAATAAAAATGATGACAATCTTGAAATACTCAAGATCATTCTACAAATGAAAAGGCTTAATGCTATTAAATTCTGCACACTGAAGATTCACAGAGTATCCATTGTAATGTGGTTCATCTACAACCCTTAATTATTTTTATGAAAATATCTCTAAATGCTAAATTCTCAAACACCCACTTTGTATATAATTATAATCATAGTAACTTTAGCCTGCTGTATAATTATAAGAATCTTAAATGGATTTATTTCTTTGGATTTTTATCTTGCTTCTCAGTATAACTATATCTATCCCAAAGTGGGGGGAAAAAAGGTTAATTACAAAGATATAATTTAAATTGCTTTCTTCCATTAGACCAATCTAAACATTTAAAAAAATAAACAATGTTTAATACTATTCTTAAATAGAATTATTTGAGAATCTGGCCATCTCCATTTGCATTCATCTAAGCATTGTCAAAATATTTCTGCATTTTGGGGTACCATATATGTAAATATGTGTATAAAATTTGTTATTTTAATATTATTAAGATTTCTCACTGGCAACATATCCTACTGAAAAATTGCCTTCATTCTTGAATTGGTAAATCTTGAGTAACTCTGCAATTCCCACTTTAGTATAATAGTTTCAGTTGAAGAAACCAACTAAATATACTCTTGTCCATGTAATTGGCCTCTTGCTGTTCATTAAAGAAATTTGCACATTAGGTCTTCCTGGTTGCTGTGGAAATTGATTACTAGGCCTATTTAACTTTAGTATAAGCAAGACACTTGCCACATGCGGGATTAATACATTGAGGTAAATGCAGTAATAGATAAATTACCAGAAAACAGCCTTTAAAATGATATTTCTGGTTTGATTTGTAAAGTGTATTTATGAAATGGTGGTACTTCCTTTTATTTTTAGTAAGCCGGTAAAGAGAAGGAAGACCCTTTTATAGAAGATACATATTTGGGGGAAAATGTGAAATTATCAGAATAGCTTTTGAATCTGGATTAAAGATGCCAAATATTTAGAAATTATCTCAGGGCAGTCATTAATAATTTATTTTTATACGATCACATTGTAACATCAAGAATGATAGTCTTAGTTCCTTTTCTCCAGAAGGCAGACAGGATGACAGAAAGAAAAAACTTCTCACCCTGAAGAAACGCGTTCAAAATAGGAAGTAAAATCAACAGGAACTGAGAATGTTTTGGTAATGCTCACTGGTTGTCAGATTGATCAAAAGAGAAACTTCCACAAACTTTCTCTGTAATCATGAAATTCACTCTTCAGACGTCTTGAAAGCAAAAGAAGTTTGATGTCCCCAGTCGGTAGAATTTTACCTTTTATCAGCACAAATTAAGCCCTCATCAAATTAAAGATTCAGGGACCTTTGGAAAATACTGAACTCCAGTAACCTCAGGATTGTCCAGAAGGTCCTTGATGGGCACCTTGCAACTCCCTGCCCATCGTCTTCTTGGTTAAATGATCACATGCTGATTATCTGGGAGCACCCTGAGAGTTTCTGAATGCTGACCTCAGAATGAAGACCATCTGGTGTGGGCAGAGATTTCCCCAAAAGAAAAATACCTGACTGGACTACATAATTTTATAGTCTCATTGACGAATTTAAGGGACTAGGCAAACATCTTTCCTTGGCATTTAGGCAACACTCAGTAAGCATTTGACCTCACCAAATCTTTATTTTTAATCTCGTTCGGATTTATGGAAAGCCAACTGTCCACCCTCTCAAAGGAGATTGTTTTCTGAGCTTGAACCAATGAAAGCATGGCAGTGGGGCCGATGGTCATCTGGTCATTGCATGCCACTTGGTGTTTCTGTTGTGTCCGTGATATGTTCTGGATTTGACAGGTCCATCCTCACATTAGCTCGATGAATGGCTTGCTTGAATTAAGCCTGGGGGCAGGCTTCTCTTTATCGATTGGCTCTTGGTTTCTTTGTGTATTATGACTTGGTCATTGTTGCATCTTTGAGCAGCCAAACCGGGATGGGAGTGGGAGGGAGATTCCCTGTTCAATGAATTATGCCACAAATATTTGGGGAAATATGTATGATATGTACATAGCTTTGATGACAATGTTACCTCACCAGAAAGGCAGACATTTGTCATGCTTGTCCTGCTTGCTAAACATTCTATTTAACATCTCCTAACAACCAGTGCATGAGAACGTCCCCCCACGTTATGGCAGAAGGGAACTAGATGCAGACCAGCTGGAGAGGAGAGTCATAGAGAGGGGTTCACTCAGAAGTGTCGTAATGACCCGGTTGCACTGAGAGTTACCAGGGACCACTTCTTTCATGTAAGACAAGCATTTCCTTTAAAGATCCCCAAAGGTCAGCAGCTTTCACAGCCCCAGCTGCACAGGTGCCCCTAGACTGAGCAAAAGAGACAGCACCAACAAGGCTTTATTTATTTTATTTTCTACCCGTTTTTATTTGTTTGTTTTGTGAGACCCTAAAGTTTCGTTGGTAACATAGTATTAGACGGTACCATATGAAAGTGCTATTTTTGTGTGAAAAAATGGTGAAATATTGACAATTTCATAAAGCTCAACTTAATGGAAGCCCAATTAAAATGTCATAGTATGAATTATCCTGCTCTGTGCAGTTGAAATATATATAGGCATATTCATACATATATGTGTGTTGTGTATATATATTCATATACATATATTAAAATTATATATTCACAACACAAACACACACACAAACACACATACATCTGTGCCTTAGGACCTCACGAAGGACTCATAAGAGTATCTAGGTAAATCTTAATACAAGGAGGCCAGGACTTGTCAAGTTCAGGCAGTCATAAACCACATGCTAGAACATCCTTTAAATGTGAAATTCATGGCCTATGAATAAAAGGTCTATTTCAGAGAAACATAGATTAGTAGTTCTTTCTTAAAACTCAATAAGGATAAGTAGGCATGTCTTTGTGATCATGGAGAAGTTGGTCAACTCCTATTTAAAACTATATAGGTGATAGAGATAGATAAATACATACACATATACGTAGATGGGTAGATGGATGGAGGGAGGGAGGGAGGGAGGGATGGATAGAAAGATATACAAATGATAGATAAATAGATACAGAGGTAGTTAGGTGGATGAATGGAAAGAAAGAAGAAAGAAAATGATGGAAGGAAGGAAGGGAGTGAGGAAGGAGAGAAAGAATAAAGAAGAGAGAAAAAGAAAGATAGATAAATAGATAGATGTATGGATAGATAGAAAAAGGCCATCTCTCTATCTTCTCATAATATTTTATCATAAGCTTAACTACAGGACATAGAACTAAATCCTTAGGTACAACCTTAGTTCGATCTAAACTGAAAACATAAAGGGATCTGAACTGATTTCCGCTAGTGCAAGTACTCCCTATCTCTTTTAGGACTTTTTACTTCCTGGACTCAGATTAAAACTAGAGAAATGCCATCATTAAAATAAGGCTAATAATTGCATTTAAGATGATATACCAT